TTTATTTTTTATATCAAAATATGTTAGATTAAGATATAAAATAACTCAAAAAGTACTTAATGAAAAAATACTTTATTATAGTGTTTTGAAAAGCTCTCGAGATAAGCTACAAGAATATGTAATAAAAAAAGGGAAGTTCCATTTAAGAAAACGTTGATCACATTAATCTCACCTTGAAAAGGTCACTCAAGGTCAAATCCATATTTTTATCATGTGGCCCCCTCCGAACCCTACAACTTTTGTTTGAAACATTTTTTTCGATAAAGCTTACTTTCCAAGATATTTTACAGTTTCAAGTTAAAAAACTCACCCTATATATATATATATATATATTTTATTTCAGAAATCATGCTGTATCACCACTACATCAGCTATTACTTACTTTAAGATTCTATGCAACTGGAACCTTTCAATTTGCAATTGATGATTTTGGTGGCATTCACAAATCCACCATGTGCATGATTATAAAAAAGGTTACAGAAGCAATAGCGTCTTTACGTCCACAATATATTCATTGTCCTAATTCAAATCAAAGTCTAAGGCACACAAAAGAAAGTTTTTACAACATTGCTCGTTTTCCTAAAGTCATAGGAGCTATTGATTGTACTCATGTTAAAATACAATCGCCAGGTATGTATTAGGTTGAAAATAATAAATAGTAAATCTACAGTATTTCATCCATATTGCTTTTATTTATAGGTGGAGAAGAGGCTGAAGTATACAGAAGTAGAAAAGGGATATTTACTATAAATGTGCAGGCTGTTTGTGACAGCACTTTAAAATTTTTAGATCTTGTAGCACGATGGCCTGGTTCAACCCATGATTCTACCATTTTTAATGCTAGCAGAATACATGCAAGATTTATTAATGGCGAAATGGGAGATGCACTATTACTTGGTGATAGTAGTTACGCTTGTTCCAATTTTTTATTGACACCACTACTTGAAACGCATACTCAAGCTGAACAATTATATAATGAATCTCAAATACGAACACGAAATGTCATTGAAAGAAGTTTTGGAGTATTGAAACGAAGATTTGCTGCACTGGCACATTTGGTTTAAGAATCAAATCCTTAACTGCACAAGCTGTAATAGTGGCTACTGCAGTACTACATAATATTGCACGAGACGAAGCAGAACCTGATGCTCTAGCCGATTTCGATGTTGAAGCTGCATTTGAGGAATTGGAAATTCAAGAAGTACAATATCATAATGGCATTGATAATGCTAATGTACGACGGTCACTAGATGATACATATTTTGCACTGTAATGTATTATTTTCTATACATTTGGGGACAACTATTTCTTTCTGATTAACACAATTTTTGTTTACAGTCTTGTCCGTTGAGGTGTACAATTGGTAAAAATAAATATATTC